TTATTTCAATTAAAAAAAAATTTTTTTTTTTTTTAGTTTTGGTATTAGTTTACAATAACTGAATGCCACAGTATTTTCGTAAGGTTAAGGAAAGATATTAATACATTACTATTCGCTTTTCTATATATATATGTGTGTGTGTTTTAAGTATTTAAGTAACTACATTATTCAAATAATGGGCACTACTACATGGCAATGAAATATAATACACATTCTGGGGGTTGAATTTCCAGATAATGAGTTATGTACCATTAATGTGTCATTAAAATGCTCAAATTTATCGAGGAGACAACAGTGATACTGCATATGTATTATTAAGTGAACAGGCTCAACTAGTCACCTGGTTAACAGTGGTGCCAACAGACCCCTGCAGAACCATCTGTAACATTTTGGCATCAGATGGGTCCTGATGAGTTGCAAAAGCCAGCTCCTGTGTCTTCTTCTGCATATCCTCAATGGCTACTTCAATTGGCGTGGAGATGATCTGAAAAGCAAATAGTAATATATTAATATCTTTCCTTAACCTTAGCCATTAATTGTAATAAAGATTTTTGTTTGCACAAGGAGCCAGTGCTCCACACAGAGATCTGATCTCAACATCATCCAGTCCGTCTGGAATTACATGAAGAAACTAAATCCAGAAGAACTGAGGCAACATCTCCAAAGACGCTTCAAGAAACCTATCTGCAAAGCTACCTGAAAAACTATGTGCACATGTACTTAGGAATTATAATTTATATCCCCTGCAGAACCATCTGTAACATTTTGGCATCAGATGGGTCCTGATGAGTTGCAAAAGCCAGCTCCTGTGTCTTCTTCTGCATATCCTCAATGGCTACTTCAATTGGCGTGGAGATGATCTGAAAAGCAAATAGTAATATATTAATATCTTTCCTTAACCTTACAAAAACACTGCGGCATTCAGTGTTATTGTTAACTAAAACTATATTAAAAAAAAAATGTAGTTGAAATAAAGCTGAAGTCAAATTATATAAATATTTGCTGAAATATTTATATATATATTTTTTTATAAATTAAATTACTACTTTTTTATAAACTAAAATACTAAAATTGAAATAAAACTAAATAGAAATATATATATATACACACACTATGTACTACACTTATATTCCATGATCTATTTAAACGATCTTGATACTTGTCATGTAATTTCCAACTAGCATGAATACCCAAAGAGGCTTTCACAAAGCATGTGCGTTTGAGTTACCTCCTCTTTGTGGATGATGTTGATGCGGGTTTTGATGTAGGGGAAAGCGTGGGAGGTAGTGAGATTGGTCTTTCGTTTGAACTGTTCATGCAGGTCACCGTGAGCTCTTCCATCGAGTGTGAACGGCGTGCAGTAGACGAAGCGGCGCAGGTTGTAATTCTTGTCGAAGTACGTGATGCGGTCCTTCATTTCATAAGTGTCAAAATATGGTTCAACATATGTGATCTGAATGAAGGCCTGTATTGGGGGGAAAAAATGATCGGTTATTCTCTGTGCAAAGCATTGTAATTTACTTTCCACACAATTTTTATTGTTCACAAAACGGAGCGCAAATTTTGAACAATACGATATTTCAATGCACCTTATTTGGGTCCAATTTACACTTGTCGACTGGATTGGAATCTTTAATGACTTCCACTTGGTCCTCACCAAACCTTTCACCATAGAAACTCTGAAAGACATTTAGAAAGGGTATGTATGTGTGCTACAAAAAAAACTTTCAACAGAGAATAAAATCAGAAAAAATGCACCCATGCAAACAATTTAAACGCAAACGGTCTTGTACCTCAAGCCGATGTGAGATTTCTGCCAGTTTGGTGATGGCTGGCTCTTTGTAGACAAACTCCTGCTCATCCAAGTCACCAAATTTAGAACCGTAAAATCCAACTCTGAAATAGGTGCCAAACATCCGCTTTCCATTCTGAAACAAACAAATGTGTTAATTACCAATGTGCTGTTAATTAAAGCTGCCATTTAAAAAGACCAGATAACATGCAAAAATAAATCTTGTTGGTACTCAAACTTTACACTTACACTTGATACTTTACACTTTAAAACAGTTACTCAAAGAAAGGTCAAATGCAATGAGGCAAACACAACATTTTCACTTGGCAGCAAGTTATCAAGTGACAGCAGCAATGTAAACATTGTCTGGAACATGTTTACATAAATAACCTGCATTCAACACATTGGCATTTAAATAGTGATGCAATCAAATAACAGTGAAATACAGGAAAACACAGACACTAATACAGTATCATTATTCTAGTACAAACATCTACCATTTGAGGATATTTTACACAACCTCTGAAAAACTTTCATTTATTATTATTCCAAACTTCTATATAGATTCTCAATGTTACACACCCATTCAAAAGTCTGGGGTCAGTTAAGTTTTTCTTTGAAATAAATTAATACATTTATTCAGCAAAGATGCATCAAATTAATCAGAAGGGACAGTAAAGCCACTGTCATATATATTAAAATAGAAAAGAATCCTCTTAAATTGTAATATTTCAAAATTTTACTTTTTTTACACTATATTTGATTAAATAAATGCAGGCTTTCTGAGCACAAGAGACTTCTTTCAAAAACAACTATTTTACAATGGTGTATATTATTATTATCTGTCATAAGAAGAAATAGCAAAGAAAGTGAGCATCTCCACATCAGACACAAAATCTGAATTCAGTTTGAATTTGAGCCAAGCTTGAGGACAGTGATGCAAGAAGCAGTTCTGAACAAAGTGGGGACTTTCTCTGTAAACTGTATTAGCAAAGAATGACATAACAGGAAGAAGACCCGAGACAACCTGATGTCCTTAAAGAGTAAGTGAACAACTGTACTCCAAAGAAGAGACAAAGAATGGAACACAAGTAGCAAGCTCCCCGTGAGAATGTAAACGTGCTGCTGTAGCCTAATACAGAACGTCAAACTGAAACACTTATGTCAATAGAAATAGAATGTCAGATAGTATTAGCATGTGCTGGAGAAACAGGTTTGGCCATAGTAGCGTAGTAAGGGGGAGAAAAAAAAGAGTGGTGGGTGTAAGTACAGAGCCGGGAACATGTCTGAGTGCTCTACACACAGGAAGTGAAGCATTAATCAGGTGCAGATACGGGCTGAACCAAAGCAGACCAACCATACAGCCAATGCTAATAATGCTAATGCTAATATAACAATAAAACAAACAGCCTGAATAGACTTTGGTCAGTGTCTTAACAAGACATGATGAAATCATTTCCATGATAATCCTCTAACTTGTGTCATATATCACATGTATTGTAAGCATGTGACACATTAAAAATAATACCATAACTATGTAATTTAGGTCAGACTGTAAAGAGCTGTTCAAAAAGGGCGTAAACACAAATGATCAGTAATCCTAAATGGAAAATTAGTTAAACAGAGCCAGAGTAAGCAAATTCAAATTAGTCAAAACATTGTATAAATAAACAGTAAGGAGTAAAAGATGTGTAAAACTGTGAATGATGGACGTTTCAAGGAAATCTGCAGAGTTCAGATTGTGTGTGGGCCTGGTTACCAGGTGTCTGAGATGGTTCAGCCCTTCTCTGGTTCATTGTGATGTTTTTTCAGTCATAAAAGCTACGGAAATAAACCCTCGAACTATGAACTTACCACAAGACACAATAATTAAAGTGGGAAGAGGAGGGGTCAGCAACCAGGGAAATAAAAAAGGAGAGAACAGAACATTTTAATCAGGAAACTCTTTGAAAGACTAACAAAACATGTACACAAAACAAACAGCAATACTATCATAAATCAATACTATACAAAGAAAAACAAACAAACACAAAAATACTAAAACTCAACAACAAACATGCAATGAGGAAGAGGCAGGCAGAGAAAAGTGCACTTAAGTATCTTTATTTAACGGACAGTTAAGAGACAGTGCATTCCTGCTGTAATGCTGCAATAAGTGTCAAATATGAAGGTTTTGTTGAGTCATTGCCATGCAATAAATTAATAAAGTGAAATTAATACTAGTATACAAATTGGTGTAAATGAGAACTCAGGGGTCGATTTAGTTGGCAATGAAATAAAAGCTTTTATAGAGAGGTCACTTGGACGTCACTTTGAATGTTAATGTTTTGAACTGATGATCACACCATGACATCCCTTTAGAGAAAAAACAAGCATAGTTTACAAAGAACCAAGAATTCTGCATATTCTCTAAGAAGCATCTGGCCCTGCTTCAATCGTCAACTGATTTTCTAAATAGTAACCAAAATTAATAATTCTGTCATTGTTTACTCACACTCAGGCCATTCCAAACCTGTATGATGTTCTTTCATCCGTGGAACACAAAAGATAGATTTTTGAAGACTATCCTCATTGCTATATATATATATAGTTTTTTTTTCAAATAAAGCCCAATAGTTCTTTTTCAGCAACCTTGGCTCCGGAAGTATGCTCACATTAATTATTTCCCCATGGCAATTTAATAGTGATTACCAGCTATGAGGTGAATCACAAAATTTCAAATTTGAATTTGAATAAAAAAAAAATGTGAAAATCGGGCAAAAAGACAAAGGTACAAGTACTATAATCCTAAGAAGGATTGCGAATGACAACCAAATTAAAAATGGAGAAATATAAATTAATTAATTTAAAGTTGTTACTTTAAGAAACGTTTATTGCAAAATATGCACATATATACACATTATGAATATTTAATTATTTTGAGAGCATAGGGAGGCTGACTCCATTGCATCCATTCGCACTGCTTC